AAAGACACTCAGCACCGATGCACAGTGGATCGAGTCGATAGGAGAGGTCGGACGCAAAATTTGGAAACTTTAAACCCTTATAACTCCTTTTATTCAAAACTTTCAACTTTTAAAAGTTATTCTATTGGTTTCCTCGTGAAATTTTCTTCCTACAGCACCCCTTGAAATGTAAAATGTAACGAAATAGACACTCAAATTTGCAGTTTTAGTGAAATATTTAATGTCGGACCTATCTATTTGACTAGATCCACTGTGCGATGATAGGAGGTGGATGGATTTTCTCAGACCTTCGACCAGAAAACTGAAACAGTGAGAACACGTACTAAAATCGCCTTTGTCGAAGTGATGTGAAGAATAATTGAACGGTTTATTTGAAGAGAGGCGTAATTGCCGAAAGCCCGAAAGTCAAGTTTTGAGATAAACAAAAAATCTTGATCCCTCCGAAAATCCTTCATATTCCTGTTCGAAAAAACCAATCAGTGCTGTGTACGTCATGTGTATTAAAACCACGGTCGCACAAGAAGGTTGGAGGCGAGAAATAAAATCTTTTAAAATTCTCTTCCTCCACGAAACCGCTCTTTGTTGCAATTCTAAGCGGTGTTGTAACAGTCGAACATCATGCGTGTTCAATAACGATATTAAAAATCATAATTCCTGCCCTTATTCACGGTTTTTACCAATAGGAAGCAACCCGCAAAGGTGAAGTGATATTGCATATACTTCTCAGACCCCCCCCCCTCCCGGGAATTGGCATTCGTTACACTTGACCTTTCACCAAATCCACTGCTCTCCATCGTATGGAAGCACACTGAGAGACTGAAAATCTTTCATGATTCAATTTCAAAAAGAGAAAAATTTTGGAGGAGATCTCTTGGTGAGGGCCATGAGAACCGAGAATTGGGAATCCGGATGCCTCAATTCAGATATATCATCGTTGACTATAATGCCGTGCTAAGGAAAAACGTCTTATAAATCTTCAGGCGTTGCCAAATTTTCTTGGATAAAACACGAATTTCCTGGAAAACTTATGAATATTTTCCTTCTAATTTTTTAGATAATTTTGTTTGGAATTTTACCTGAAATTCCTGAAAATTTCATGGAAAAAAATTCATACCTTTCCTCGAATATAACATCTTATCGAAAAAAAAATTGGCAACTCTCGGATGTTCATTCGGCGTTCTTCCTTGGCACGGCAGTATAGCTTCTCTTTCGAGGTATGAAGTCACGCTGAATTCTTCCACTGCTATGCAAACAGCTGCCACAAACAGTGGAGCTTTGGACATACGCTGGCAACCATGAATTATCCATGCTCCGATCGCGAGATGCGCTCTATATCAATAAAGCAAATAAGTTATGTTTATAAAACACATTCGAAATCGAGCTGAATTTATTTCTCCGCTCGTAACTTGTTCGGTTTTTTGTAGGTGTGCTGGAATGATCACGGAGTAACACAACTTAAATTAAATTTACGAGAATTGATACAATATAGAATTCATGGACAACGAACCAATGGTTTATGGCCCTGCCACCCGGAGCGCCGCGGTCGGTGGCGGTGGTTACAGTTCCAGCTCCACAATCAGGAAAACCAGAAGCTTTTTATAAATAACTTTAATTTCATTTATGTACGACTGACTAATGTGCGTGTCATTATTAATTGGGACGCGACGATCATTACTTCACTCTTGAATTTATCACACTTATCTGAAGCAGACTTAAATACTCTGATGACAGTGGCGGGTGTGATTGATCGATTATTATCGATATTTCCTCATTTGAAGCTGTGGTAAAGGATCGAGCATTGAGGTATTCATTGCGAATCCCCTGTTTATCGATCCTCACCCAAGGGTTTAAATGGCACATCAATCGATATATCGAAAAGCACGCCACGCCACAGTCTGATGGAAACTCCTGCCCAGAAACTTGGACTTTGGCTTGCAAAACGTGAGTTATAGAACACAAGGTTAACGTAGATACAGAAGCTTCCGCAGCTGTAAGTGATGTAATTGGCGTTCACGTCCAAGAAAACTACCAAATACCACTATAATTTATCAAAATTTACTTCTACTGCACTTTTACTCTACCTGAAAGTTCTCCGCAAAGCCCCACTTCACGGCGCGGAAGGCCCTGGTAAAAATTGGCAGTAGAATCTGTGTTCCAAAATACCGTAGACCTACGGCCGGCTGTATTTCCAATAGCTTCTGTAGCCGGCTACACAATTTCTTACAGCCTTTTATAGCCGATGGCAATTAAGCAACTCATAGCCAGGCGAAAAAGTGTATGCTAAACGTCACTAATTACGGATGCTAGGACTTAGTGAGTTTTTGGACCACTGCTCTCTTTTTGGGCCGTAGTATCTTGATTTATTTTGCGAGGAAAGCTCCGTACTTTTGATGGATGCCTGCCATTCCTAATATACTAGAGCGCCTTCAATTTCGTATGATACTGTGCAATACCTCTGGTGTGAAATAGTTGCTTCAAGCGCCGTAGCACGCTGCGGTGCGGCAGGCGGGCACTCGGGCAGCCAGTGCGTCGCCGCTCCGCATTGTGTTAGGCTCTAATATATAATCTGGCGGAGTCAACGTTATTCAACTCATGATTTTGAAATGTTTGCACACTCTGTATGGATTATTCTCGTTTTAATTGATGAAAAAAAATATGTATTAAAGGAAAATATAACGTGTGTTTTGTAAATATTAAGGTGGTTCCGTAGCAAACTTAATGATTTCCAAAGCACACGAATTTCTACACAATTTCTTATAGCCTTTTATAATCGATGGCGAAAAAGCAACAGCCAGGCGATAAAGTGTAAAGCCCGGCTATAGGAACTGTAGCCCAGCTGCATAGTTTTTTATCGCTTCGTATAGCCCGGCAGTATGATTTTCTCCGCATTCTACAGCCAGCTATATGATTTTCTGTAGCCTTCTTTAGCCGGCTATGAGAATTCCTATGGTATTTTGAAACGCAGCTCTTATCGGCAATTTTTACCAGGGGGTCCCTGCTTCGATCTGCACCAGTAAGAACAATCACTTTACCCAAAGCATTATACGCGTGCCTGCATGATCTTAAGTCATCCTAATTGTTAGATAACGAAACGGAAGTATGATAAGTGTCCATAGCGCTAAATGAATGACAAATCAAAGCTTAAAGGACTCTAAGGCTGAAGAAATTACCTCTCTGAAAGCTAACCTCAAATCGAGAGCGGAGCAGAAAGTTATGAAGTCACTGTAACGCAAACTTAGGCGCGGGTACTCGGTCGGTGTGTTCTACAGTTGTCTCCCGACACCAATTAAAAGCTACACAATTTCACCGCTTATTGGCTAAAACTTATGGCCCATAAAATCCCATTCATTTCCCGAGAAGCCAGTCGTTTTTCACTCGTCCAAGTGCGGGCTCACACTGAATAAATCTCCTCACCTATATTCATTCCACATTTTATGCAATTAAAATGGTTACGGCTCTATTGTTTGATTGTGCCCAGTTGGAGCGCCTCCATTTTTTCCGCGGAGACTAGTGCACATGGATGCCACATTTTAAGGGATGGAATCCGAGTTAGCCCTTGTTCTAGGAGGATTTCGATCGGGTGAATGGGTAGACGGGACAACGGGGGCAGCGCGTCCTTTGCGTTGTACACCGCCACTACTCCACGGCGCGCTGAGCGTCGCAATCGTCGCATGAGGTACGAAAATAATGAAATCGCATTCAATTCAATTAATAAATCGCGCCGCGCCGCTCGCTGGCTAAGTTGCCGACTTGAGTTCGTCGCATCGTCATTTAAATCTTATCCTTCTGTACGCACGGGTAGCCGAGAGTATACCTGTATACTACAGCGAGAGTATGGACTAATGTGGAACTCTGAAAATCCTTCAGGCCTTCACCGATGCCTCCGCGAATAAAGTTAGGGCCAAGAGGGGCAGGCAACTTACGAATTCGAATTATCCATAACGATTTATTATTACAATTGATACGACTCCTCGTTTGTACAGCACGTATTTGACTTAGTTTTCACGTAAATTTACACTTTTTTTGCAGGAGATCGCTTACCCAAGTAGCGTTTTTCAACGGGAAAATGGCGTTACTTTGAAATTAAGTTGCGATTTTTTTTTTAAATTTTTTGGAGATAAAATCGCTAGGATCATCAACATCTGAGCGATTATCCTCGATCTTGTCGCAATTTCATCTCTACAAAATTGTGTTCGATAAAATCGAACTTTTATCTCAATTTATGGCAATTTGTTATCCACTAATATTGCAGTAAATCGAAGTTGAGAACATCTTGTTCGTCGATCCTTTTCTATTGATTCAAATGGTAGAGCAATCCATATGTTGCAGAACACGTCGCGCCACTGCATCAACAATTAATTGATCCGGAGGGATCAAACGGTGGCATTAGAAACTAGCAAGAGACTTAAACGAATGGTTAGAAAAACTAACTAAAATCCAGAAACTAACTTACCAAGGATTAAGGATAACCAAGGATTAAGGATAACCAAGGATTCGTTTTCTAAGAGAGAGAGACGATTACATTGTCCGAATAGTACAGCCGATATATCCACGTGAAACTGCAAACATGCGTAACTCGATTAAGGTGTTTCGAAACCTCTGCTCCTATTTTATGCCTTAAAAAACCAAGCCATTGGCATGACTTGAAATTTTTACAGAATATTCCTCATATGGAGAAGAATAATTACCGAAGTTTTCAGGGAATGACGCATTGTAGTTGTCCATGTAAAACAAAAAGTATGGCAAGAAACTTGCAACGTTACGAACCGAAATACGCATTTCTGCAGTTTCACAATCGATTTGAAACGGATACTGAACTCTCCTCCTCACGGGGTGGTTCCTCCAGGAAAGGGGTTGAGGAGTCCCACCCCTGGAGAAAATGCCCAGAAATTCAGCTCCTGGACGTCCGTTTGATCTCGGTTTTCGCAAGGATTCCGCAAAACAGAACCCTTGCGAATTCTGAAAGACAGCTCTTACTGGGAATAAATCGATTAAAACAATTAAAAACGAAATCAAATTGCTTTATTGTCATATAAATATATCGAACAAAAGAATATCAAGACGTAGTGATTAGAATGCACTGTCAATGACAGTGTTTGCAAATGCTTGCACATAGACAATATGACGGAGTAATGAGAAGTGTATGATAAATTTGAAAATTCAAGTATTAAAAGTAAGGAAGCCTGTTCCGACCGCGTTTAGTGAGTCTGATTATGTCAGTTAGAGAAATAGAAGAGAGTTTAAATTCGATTCTGTTACCAAGAAGTTTTCATAAAAATTATTTGGTACAACCTGGTTATCATGATTGTAGTGTCAAAAATTTATTTACATACGTAATGCTGACTTTACAGTTTGATCAATTGTCAAGTCAAGGGACCCTGCACAGAAAACTAAAAAAATCGGCGCCAACCAAATTCCTTTATTATTTAAAGTATGATGTATTATCTTCTTTTAAGACCTCCTGGGCACGCTGCAGTATAAAAATCGTGCTCTCTTTTCTACAGTTTCGAGAAAGTTGGGACTCAAAATTGAATTTTTCAGTATTTTATACTAGCATCTTGATGATCTAGGAAAGCTCCTCCTGCTGCACTGAAAAAATTTTTCTTGAGATATTATTTTGACTTAAAACGTCGTTTCTTGATAGCATAATTTGTTTTTGTGTTTGTTGTTGTTTAAGTTTATGTTAATGTTATGTTTAAGTTTAAGTTTAAAAAAATGATGGTAAAACAACGCTTCTTTACATCAAAAAAGCCAAATTTGGTCGACAAGAAACGACGCTTTAAGTCGAAATAATATCTCGAGAAAAACATTTTTAGTGCTCGCTAAGCCCGGCGCCGCGCCGGCCCGAGAGATCTAAGACAGACTGCAACAGAATGAAGGCTCTCCATATCCAGAACAGGAGCAATGTCACGACTCTATACAAAAATGCAAGTAAGCATACAAAAAAAAACACTTTTTTCACCCCTCTTTTCTCGGAAGTATATAGCACCTCGAATGTGCGGTTTTAATCACATATTGTTCGCAAAGTATCGTAAAAAACATCCCACAAAACGAAAAACCGGTTAGCGCCAAATCCCTTTGTTTTCCATGCAGGCTCCAAAATGGACTGATTTTAACAGAAAAGAACCAATCCACATAAAGTTGAAACCGGGAAAAAGAGGTTTGCAGCTTCTTTCCTCCATATGACACATTGTAGAAAATAAACTTTAACTATCCTTTTCACGAGCAAATTTTTTTTTCGACTTTGAGTTTTACGCAGGGGAAAATATACAGTTAGTGGAACTAAAAACAATCTTAACTCAATTTTTTTCGAAAATATGGGTCGGTTCCTCTCTGATAAACTCGGTCCAAATAAAAAGTTAAATCATTGGATTATTTGGAATTCATCGACTTAAAGTGCGTCTAAAATTTTGTCTCGGTTGATTGAATAAATAGGCATTTGATTTTCACCGTAAAGGAAAGTTGATAGCTGTCTATCGATTGGTGCCCTCTCATCATAGAGGGATGGTGCCTGGAACATAATGATACAGGTGCCCCCAATACAGGCGACCGTAAAAATCCACAAAAAGAATCTGTCCATCACCATCGATACGTATTTCCAGTCTTCTATGACCTGCAAGTAGAAGTATGACTCTGTGAGCATAATTATTGTACAGCCTGATGATTTTGAATTTCTGTTGGAAGTTCGTTGTATACGTCAGCGACAGTTCTAGGGGGTCTGCCCCTTAGCCTCGTTAATTATGTACCTTTTTTTACTCTACTTAAAGCTCAAAAAATTGAGGGAGATATGATGTCCTGAAGTTCGATGAGAAAAATTCATAAGTTTTATTTTATATTTGAAATTGCATGTGAAAATTGAGGCCCTTTTTCAGAATTCTAACATGCGTACAGAGAGGGAGCAGTTAGCGCCTTCCGTGATTGAAAAACCTCGCGTATAGCTTGTTCCAAATGCCTCTGAAGAGCCATTCTCGCTCGCTGAGAACTCGAAAATGCCGATGTGTAGGATGTAATGATGTAGGGAAACAGTTTTTCGTCGTGTTCAAATGACTAAGACTTTTGGACTCAGGTCTATGTAACATCTCGATTGTAAACAAACAATTTCGGGTGCTCGGTCTGACAATACCACAAAAATGATGACGCTGGTCCGATCTTTTTGAAACTAATATTAATTGTGTATTAACTTATGAAAAGCCGACCTCTATGTAGATCGTGCAACTTACCTCATTATCTTTGTCCGCATCTTTGATGTGTTGAGCAATAAAGCGGACTCCTTCTAGAGCAGCTAATAAGTCGTCCGATAAGTGTCTTGGAATCACATTCTCCAAATCTAAAATTGAAGAATATGTACCGGCATTAAAGGTAAATTTTCACCAAAATTAACTGAATACTCAAAAAACATCTTACTACCTGCGAAAATGTGAAGCAACACTCCAACGAGGTAGCAACAATTTTCCATGTGATCCAAATTTAAAGCAAAGTATGCTTCTGTAAATAATGCACATTAATAATTGTATCGGTGTAATTGATGTACTTTTACCAATGATTTTCTGGTATTACTCGATTGTAACCGTTATTCCAATGATGACACTTTTGCTCAGAGGAGGAAGTTACAAGAATCCAAATGTTGTATTACCGCATGGTTAGTTTTTATTGAGCGATTGAAAGGATTGAAAAATTTAACATTTATACATTAAAACGATGGATTCACTATATATACTCGACAGAGTAATGGAAAAGATTGATTCATAGATGATTCTCAGTTATTTTGACTTCAGTTGACTAGATGAACATGATTACTTGCCTGGCGCTTGGGCTCCATGGTGGAAGTGATTACAATCGTTGCTTTTATACATATTTCTGTTTTCTTTAGGACTGCATTTATGTTCCATTGGACATCCGTCACTGAAACTGTCTCTGAATAAAAGACATAAATTTCACGATTAGTTGGGAAAAATGGGAGAGAATGATTTGCAAAACGGCCCTCGTCCTGAAAAGCGTCACTTAAAAAAAGAACTTTCAAAGTTTTAGTTTTTCTACATTTCTATTCATTAAAAACATACGATTTCGACAATTTAAAAAAAAGTTACTGACTCGCCTTTCAATTTAAGTTTCTAAAATTTGAATTCCTTAATGTAATTGTAAGGATAGGTAAACATCACATAGAGGAAGGATACGGAGGCTAGGATAAGGGCTTTTTTGCAGACAGACTTTTTTTGTTAGCTCAACAGAAAGGCTGGTTTAAAACGTTATTTAGAAGAAAACTTTTCGAAACAAAATTATAACTTCAACTAATGTCTGGTTAAGTCTAATGAATTTTTGCCGTTTTTTCTACATTTGTTACCAAACCGTTCTATTCTACTCCAAACAATTGTGGATTAAATATTAAATTGATAGTAAATACTCGAGAAACAGCAACACTTTATCATGCTAGTTAATTTTTCTGAGGTTAACTGTTCTAAGGTACAGTTTTGAAGTACTAGTTCTGAGGTACTTAGAAGGAAAATTTTTATCAACTCAAATTTCTTCGACCTAATCTCTACTGAACCTAAACTTTTAAAAATAGTGACGTATTGTCTGCTAAATTTGGACTTTAAAAAGGAATTAAATACTTATGAAAGTATAAGGAGGCATTTTTCAGTGAAAAAAAAATGAAAAATTTCTAACTCGGGTTTTTGACAATTTTTATAATAATTTTCTCTTTGAAAACGAGTTTCCTCACTTTCTATGACAGCCAATGCTCATATGGTACTTGATAGATATCTAATTAAGTTCCTGACCTTGAAGGAATCAGAAGGATACGCTCATTTTTTCTATGTACCGAAGCTTTGATAACGCTCTAAAGAGTTGATCAAAAAACTACTTACCGAAAATCTCCATCATTGACATAACTAGCATCCGACAAATTTTCAAGATATAAATCGTTGGGTGAATAAGGCGGCCGGCGCATCATTAATAGTCGAGGCATGAAGTGGAGAAACACCGTTTTCACCCAAGGAGACATTTTATGAGTAGACGGTGACCTAAATTTTGTGTCCAACAAAATAAAGAAAGAACACTCGTTAATGTTACAGGCACCCTCAAACCTTTTTTTCTTCCATGAAAACACTAAGCTCAATTTCAAAAAGTAGTAGATTGCTTATTTTTTGAGAATACAGAATACTCCTGACTCCTGAAAATTTCGAAACGATATTTTCGTTCGTTCTATTTTCTTTTAATGTAACCAAAAAAAAAAATTAAATATCATCCGCGTTTCTGAAACGTTACAATGAGGATACATATTTTCCCTTTGATTATGGTAAAAACTGGAGAAGATTCAAGAATGATGACACGCAAACCTACAGCATTCCCACAGTCTTGTAGGCGCTAATATGCCGTTCACACTGCGTTTGGCGCAATGCGAGAAGTATTCACGCAGCCTTGTAGGCGCCAATATGGGCCGCGCGCCGACCGTGCTGTCTGGCGCAATGCGTGAGGTATTTCCAAAGTCTTGCAGGCGCTAATATACGTTTATCGCCGGCCGCACTGTGTTTGGCGCGACTATTCGAGCTCTCGTTAGAATAATCGCGGCATCGAATAATAGAGCTCTAAAGGTCCATGTTGTGTTTCGACGCCGTATGAGCATTCCAACGTTGCCTGGTTTCTCCCGATTAAATATTGCTTCCGAGAAAAGTTATTAAAGTTCTTTATACCCACGACCATTATTTGATCTTTTCACTCCATTTATCATCAGAGGGTGAGACATCGGCTTGTCAACAAACTCTGGCGTTAACATAAAATATGCGTTTATTTTCCGACTGTTTCCTGTTTTGCCAAACTTCTACCTTAAATTAACTTAATTTTAAATTCGCGCATTCCTGTAGGTTCTATTCGTTTACAATCCTCATCTATTTTCTTAGAAATTTCGCGCGATCCTGGATTATCGTTATGCACTACGTGCGCTTTTTGAATGCTCCTAGATCAATGCACCGATATGAGAGCCCAACATGGCAATTAGCGATTTTTTGGTATTAATAGACGCTTCTACTGACAAAGAGTCAAAGAGTAAACTAAAGCACCGAGTTTTTCCGGTCTCCTTGTACATACAGTCTTCATTTGATTGAATAAGGCAAGAGACCGACTCAGGGCTTTAATTCTAAATTCGCACATTTCGGGATAAAAAATAAATTATTAATGCCCGAAACACGAATTTCAGTGTTTCCGCCGAGTTGCCTGACAATTTGAGAAATCGTTCAAAATGCTGTGAAGTCTGAAAAAATATTTTATCATTGCGACCTTTAATAATTATCTCCCTTCTATTGATAATAAGCAGGAAAATGAAAAGTTTTTTTACTCTCCTGAAAAATCGCGTTTACCGAGATACGCACTTTTGCAGTTTCACCATAAAGTGATGATGAAACTTACCGGAAATGAACGTTCAGAACGCAAACAGTGACGCAAATGGAAAGTGTCACCAAAGTCATCGTAAAGAGGAGGTATTTCCCGAGCAGAGGCACAGCCAATGATGTGGGAGGAATAATCTCAGCAAGCAGCAAGAAAAACACTGTCAAGGACACGAGAATTGAACTGCAAAGGGAGACCTAAAACAAAAATCAAGATTTTTGTACTCTCACTGTCAAAAACATTAGTTTAGTCCAAAGATTTGGCTCGAAGGGCATTCAAGGTACTTAGACGAAAAATCTGTCGCAAAAGAGCTGTTTTTTGGCCGAGGAGAATAATGTTTTTTTCTATATATTATATGGGAGGGAGGGGTGGATTTTCACCATTTGGATGAGTAGTGATAAAATGAAATGATGTGATAGAGCCAGAATTGCTTGATTTCACCACAATGGTGGAAATTGTCATGTATAAGCGCACTTTTTCATTGAACATTTTAAGAATTTTTCACGGAGTAATAACCTTTGTTATTTAATGTATAACTATTTTAGAGTGGATAATTGAAGAACTCACAGGTGTCGGAAATTTTGTAAATTTCATGTTAAAATGAAACTGCTAGGAAAAGAGAGCCTGATTTGTAAATTGAACAATTATTGGAGGAATATGGCAAAATAACCTAATCTGCTAAAATACATGTGTTTAAATGGGAGATGTCGCCAGATGACGTCACAAGGCGACACATTTTCCCACTTTTAAATCTATTATCCTCCAATTTCCCATTCCAAAAAAAAAATAATAGAAAATACTGCGAACTTAGCTCACTAAGCACTCTCAGATGAAGCAATAAAATTGTGAGTGCAAAGTCTCCGTTAGTAAAATGCCGGGAAATTTTGAAACGTTGAAGTGCAATGAAAAGCCCATGGCGATTGGTAATCCTCTCAATTTTAATTTTATGAAACATAGGTAGCTGACATAAAAGCTATGAGAAGATCGAGCGTTGAAATAATTGACATTGGCATTGAATAATTGAAAATTGACAGTATGAAATGGAGGAAATTAATGCTAATTCTCAGCCATAAGTGGCGAGAGTAAAGGGGCATTTGATCCCAGAACATTTATAGTCTGAATGAAAATTTGCTAAAAAATCTCAAATACGTTTGATATAGCTGCGTTGTCTTTTATTTAGAGCTAAATAAAAAATATTTAAAAATAACTGTTAAAATTAAGAAAAGTAAAGTAAAAGGAGGGGAAATTGAAAATTGAGAAATGAACTACCTTTTCGCCAGAATCCGACGGTAAGTAGAAGACCAACACAGTCAAAAAAGTAATTCCAACACAAGGAATGATCAAGTTCACGGTGTAAAATAACGTTTTGCGTCGCATCGTTATATTGAAGGTAATGTCTGAAAACAGAAAATTGAGCAGCTTGTAAATCATTATACAAACTAATAAAATCATTATAAATACAAAGTGATCATTCGTCGATATACCGTGCCTACAAATAGAACAGCATTCGTTGACACCTGACCGACAGTATCGATTCATCATCAATCCTATTTTGAATAAACGATGTTTGATTTACTTTGAGAACAATTGGAGTAAAAAGTGAAAGCAAAGGGATCATTCGCCAATGACTGAAAGTGGCAGGTAACATAAGTAGATTTAAGAATTTTTTTCAAAAACTGCACTTGCCTTCCACGCCCCTCATTTGAAGGGCTTGGACGACAAGGCGTAAAAGTTCAGTTTTTACAAAAACTGAGGTATTAATGATTTTGAACAGAACTAGTTTTAATGCATATTCTGTGAAAAATTCTGTCCCAAATTCCAAATTTTAAGCATCAAAAAGGCAGCTTGATTTTTCTTTCCGCCATAAGGATCCATGCAATTTCGAAACTTCAAACACGTATTCCTCGAAATAGCGAACACTGCACATACACGCCTTGTCCTCCAGGCCCCTCATATGAGGTACGTATGAACTTGGCTAAAATGCTCAAACAATATCCATTGCAAATTCTATAAATATTTTGCCAAGATAAAATAATTGAAAGCAATTCGGTCGGAATGGCGGAAAACACTGTAGCTAAAGTAAACATTGTCCTCTGTAAAAGCAATCTTAAGATAAAGAAAGTGGTCATCTGCCGCAGGCAACTATTACTGCTCCAAAGCCACTAAAATTGCCTATTCAGGTTATCGAAGGCAAACTGCATGGTCAAGAAGAAATGCTGTGGCTGGTACTATTGGCTAGAAGGATAAAGGCTATTCAGCTGTCAGGTGCCCAAGAGAAAGGAAGCTAGGTAAGTTATGAAGCTAGCTGCTCTGAACTCCTCTGTGATCATTCTAACGGCAAAAATCCTTCTGTAGAGATGAAACTAGTAGTTTAAGTTTTCATCAGACTCCTTTGCGTTAAGAACTAAAACAACCCACCTGAGTATGGCTCGGTGCAACAAGGATAGTATTCTTCATTTCTCCTGGCCGGTACCTCCAATATGTCCCACTCAACAGACAAATGAAACTCGCTTAAATCAACACCAACATTGACTAAATTTGACCCATAAACTTGTTCCATATGTTTGAGGTCAATCTGAAAAAAAAGCAATCGAAAGTTTAATTTTTCGGACTGAAATACTTGCTTTGCTTTTGAATCTGTTTCAAATTGGTTTGAAAGAAGTCCCTGCGCTTCCAAAACAAGGCACAAAAAGGTCTTTTTATTAACAGACTCTTTGAGGGCATGTGAAATTTTTGCACCCTCAATATCAGAAAGAAGTTGCTGTTGCTCGGCACGAAATTGAACTTTTTCTTAGCACGGATAAGTCTTTTTCAGATGATTTATGTGAAGAAAAAAGTTCAACTCAATTCATTGAAATAGTGAGGTTTCTGGCAGTTGAGAGTTTTGACTCTGACCCTCCGTCCTTCCACGGGGAGGAAGGAGCGCCTACACCAAACCGTCCGCAATATTTAAACATCTAAGGTGCTACTGACAATCTCTTTTTTATAGACACTGAAACTCACTTGGAATCCATTGTAAGTCCATGATCCAAATTTCATAAGGCAGCTTTGCTCATCAAATGGGAAATACAGGACGTTCATTTCACAAGAGGATTTGTAAATGGCAGGGGGTCTCCACAAGACATCACCTGTGTAGTTGAGAGTAGCTTTTGTCATCAGTGTCACCTCGTAGTTGCCATCAGCACTGAAAACAGATACTATTTATTATTCCTCTCTTACAGTGAAGATTAAGTATGGTCTTAGCCGCCATTACGAGCCCCCTAAAAAACCTTTTTCGCACCTTTTAGCCAGTTTTGACGTTCGATATTTCATATACTTTCCATATTCCTTTATGAAAATAAACCAAAATTCAATTGATTTACATTAGAGGGTAGATTTTTCTTTCTTTTTTTATTTCTTTATTTATTTATTTTTTTAAAAAAATCCTGAAAAACTGTTGTCATTTTTAAATTACTAAATCTCGTTTTACCTACTGTGAGCGACTTAAAAAAAATCGAGGCCGGATAAACTTTTTTCTCCTTCTTTTTATCAATACTTGAATTACATGAAAAAACGCCAAAAAAAAACAATTTCAAGTCAATCATATAGACAAGTTCCAAAGAGAGGCGTGTTAGCTGACTTCCAACTCATCAAAAGACGCATTTCGAACCTGCGGCCAAGAGAAAAAAATCAAATCGATGGAACCAAGTAAACCTCATGCTATGAACCGTTTCTTGGATCCAAATTGGTCAAAATTCCCATCCTTGCTGGCGGCCATAATTCTGTAAATGACTCAAATTTTTTGTATTCCAATATTCGATAGCATGCCCGAGTACTGTTCATATAAAATTTCAAGTCAATTGAACTGAGGGGCCTCACGAAATGAACAGTTAGCTGGGTCCAAATTAGTCAAAGTGATTAAAATGGTCATTTTGGTACCGGTCAGCTACTATGACTCTCAGGAGAACTTTCGGTTTTGTTTTTTTTCCTCAATTTAAATTATTTAAATGTGAATTTTGGTCCTTGCAGTAGGTCCATAATGTATCATACTAAAAATTAAACATATTTCTTACTTATTATAGAGGACTATGTCAGGTAGCCAAATATGTTCGGATGGAACGTAGAGCATCTCGACACCTCCATACTCATTTGGGTCCCATCGGAGCTTGTAGTCATTCCATTTCTGGATTTAAAACAAAAATGGAAAAAAATTAAATTGTATGATTTGTGTGTAGCTTAACAGAATATTGACGGCGAAATTACCAATAACTACATATCCCGTTTGTTTTTAAATACCCGCCTCCATTTTATTTTTTTGAATTAAGACAAATCCCTCACCATGCCTTAAAGTTTTCAAGGAATTTTCCTGCCCCAGAAGAAAAGAAATAGGTACAAAAATGTTTAAGAGGTGTCGCAGAATTGTTCATTTTAAAAATCATGTGCGGCAGGTGTAGTATTCAACGTCGCGAACCGAGATGTGTGGTTTAGTAGTTTCTCGCAATTAAAGGCGTTTTCAAAACAGCAAAGTCCCTATTATTTTGTTTTATTTCTAACCACTCGTTTGTTTTAATCCTCCTATAAAAACTACCCGTTTGCAAAATACAATTCTAGCTGGAACGCACTTTCGCTATGCATTCACGACTGCAAAAATGTCAAAGGAAATCGACAAGGCCAACGTGCATGAAGGCGATTTCAATTTTGATCTTCCGTCGCATTCTTACGGCGCAATGATACAACTATTTGAACTCTCCGGAATGCGTGAGGTATCATGCCGCATTTGAAGGCGTTTTCAAAACAGCCATGTTCCGATACCCGGATTATCGTTTTGCAAAGTTCCGATTATTATGCTTTATTTCCTACCATTTGTTTGTTTTCAATCATCGTATAAAAACTACTCATTTGCTGAATACACTTTTGGCTGGAGCGCACTTAAGCTATGCACACACGACTGCAAAAATGTCAAAGGAAATCGACAAGGCCAGCGTGTATGATCGCTATTTCAATGCATTTCTAAGGCGCAATGATAAAACTATTTGAACTCTCCGGAATGCGTGAGGTATCACGCCGCATTTGAAGGCATTTTCGAAACAGCCAAGTTCCGATACCCGGATTATCGTTTTGAATAGTTCATATTCTTTTGTTTTATCCCGTGCCACTTGTTTATTAATTTTTAATCCTCGTATAAAAACCGCCAATTTGCTAAACACAATTCTAGCTGAGGCGCACTCTAGCTATGCATTCTCGACTGCAAGAATGTCTAAGAAAATCGACAAGCCCAGCGTGCATGAAGGCTATTTCAATTGTAATCTTCCGTCACATTCCTACGGCGCAATGATACAACTATTTGAACTCTCCGGAATGCGTGAGGTATCACGCCGCATTTGAAGGCGTTTTCGAAACAGCCAAGTTCCGATACCCGGATTATCGTTTTGCTAAGTTCCGATTATTATGTTTTATTTCCTACCATTAGTTTGTTTTCAATCATCGTATAAAAACTACTCATTTGCTGAATACACTTCTGGCTGGAGCGCACTTAAGCTATGCATTCACGACTGCAAAAATGTCAAAGGAAATCGACAAGCCCAGTCCCGTCGGGATATAAAAGATCCAAAAATTTTCCGGGGGGTGGCCTCCCCCCGGACCTCCTCTCTTTCCTGGGGGGTTATTGAAGGCGAGCTCGACAAAGTGAAATACGCAGTGGTCTAGAGTAATCAACGTGTGTTCTTTGCTTTCGTGCGCTCATTCTTTTTTATACATTTTCTCATTATTATTCAGCAGGATCGATTACAAAACTTATCAATATGCCTGGAATCGTCCTGAATAAATGTGGAAGGTAGCGCCCTGTGCGAAGCAACGATAGTGCACTCTAAAATACAAATTAAATATGTTTTAAGTATGCACACGGTGCGTATCATATACTGGTATTCTGTCTACTACGACAATCAAAATCCTAGGGCGGACTAGAAGAAGGAAGACTTGCAGCCTCCTCAACAAGCTTTATGAAAAAACCTTTAAATTTTGATGGGGTTGCGTCACAAACCGATCTATGACACAATTTCAGGCTCGACAGGAATTTTCTGCCAGGATAAGCTTTCCTCGAGCTATTGAAACATGATATACACCACAATCCTTTTAAAGTGTAACTTCATGATTATAACCTTTGTAATTACACGTAGACAGATTTCAATCAGACAAAAAGGACGCATTACTAACCTGCTCTACCCAAACATTGGTCGTCATGACCTGGCTCTTCAGACTCTGAAAAAAAATATAAAGGAATACATTCGTCTTGGAAAACAAAAAGGTCTTAGAAAGTTTATCGGATTTTAGTATTTTTTGCCTGCAGGGGAATTTGCTGCCATTCAATCAAGAGAGAACGTGTACAGAGAATATAATATTAAACAAAATCGACACAAATAGATGAATAAAAATATTTTTTTTCTCCGCAGTATGATATCATTAATTTCCTCATTGAATATTTCCGCAACTTTTTCCTTTCTTTTTTTCTACGGAAACGGAAGGTTCCGAACTGGACACCTTACAACACCAAAACTTAAGCAATGCAAGGTATATTTCTGAGCACGTCTGTTTGCTTGAGTAGGAAAGTGTATTGACTCATTTTCTCATAAAAAATGACCACATAAAGTCGTCTCTCGTACAAAGGAACGTGACTTATTCGAAGGTGGCAACATTTACGCAAATAATTCAATTTTTAACAAGAATGAACCTGCGAAATTTTTGTCCAAAATTTTTCTGATTTTTTCATGAGATCAGAAAAACAATCGGTGAAATTTTCAGTTAAAAATTGCCAAGATTCTCTTCGTAAAAATACGATTTTCGAGGGGTAATTTGGTAACAATGAAATGTAGTTACGTTCTTTCGTGAAGAAAACGACGATAATACCTCGCATAGTATAGTACACTAAACTCAAAATTTCAAAAAAATGATCGTATATACTCACTTACGTATTGCTATTTTAGTTAGTATTTATGCACTAAAATATTACTTTAAAAAATGAGGATGCTTACCACTTCTAGAAGTTGCGACATTTTCAGTCGAAGTTGGACGACTAAGGTTTCGGTATTGTTCACAACCGGCCGAATCAGACGATTGTAGTTGCTCAACAAGTCATCATAGAGCCTTTTTGCATCTGGGTTAGCCTCTATTTGCTTAAGACCTGCATACGAAAATTTCCGTGAATTCTTGTCCTTTTTGTAGATATGGATCGTATTTAGCAAAAAGGAACCAGCGCAATTACAGTGTTTTCGAAATTGTGTAACTTTTTCCTTTCCTTTAAAAATGCTTAATATATGTACAGTATTAAAATCTACACAATTATTTTCCTTTGAAATTAACGATTTTTTGGTTAAAAGCAAAAGCTTTTTGCTATTCTGGGAGATTTTTTTAGATACTTACTTATGAAGAAGCAACATTTGTACAACACTGTAATCGCGCTAGTTCCTTTTTGCTAAGTGCGATCCATATTTTGATGGAGCAATAAATTAACGAGATGTTTTATTTATAATATTTATTTTGGCCTTTTTATATTTTCAGCTACTTCTCATCTTAGGCATCTATCTAACCTTAATGTTTTCGAGGATGATCGATATAAATGGCTAAAGTTCGAGACCATGTATCCCCGTTTACGACGTTGCAAACTTCTTGTCATACTTCATTTTCTCCTTGGGAAACTAGTCAACGTAATTTCTTGAAAAGTCCATGATTTTTCCTCTCTGTTAGCAGAGTATACGTCGTATGAATTTCAAACTATAAAGTTGACTTGTTTCTCTTCGAAAAAATAAATTGGAGGCGGAGATTTTGAAACGCCTCGTATAGGTTACGTGCGATTTCGGACTTTAACCATCGGTATTTTGAATTATTTTAATAAAAATATAATAAAAAAAGAGACTTAGGGGTATTCCATTAAAAAATATTACTCACCGTTCACATTTTCAGGGTGATAGGACAATTTGAGAAGGATTAAAGCAAAAACGAAGAGCATTGTACTGGTGATAAGAGAGATCCAGTAATACGAAAATGTAACGGTTGTGTATTTCGACAGGTCCTACTTGTAGTTACTACTTTATATAAGGTAATATTGCACTATACGCTTATGAATTAAAGGATAGAACAGCGCTAACTAAGAGACTAGAAAACCGATAGCAGAAAACACGAAACTTGGGGGCAAAGACATTTTTAAGGGGATGCAATGCTTTTGAAACTGCTAAGGTCCCGGAGATCAGAGCCCGAACTCAGGGATGGTGGGGCGCAGGACAGCGCGGGAATGTGCCCGATGATTTCCGCGCCTCGCACAGCATCCCTTAGGAGCGAAAATCAATAACGGGGCCTGCGCCGTTGACGTGCCTTTGACCGCACTAACCGGCTTGCTTTAAAAAAGCGCGGGCTTTAATGCTGAATATAGGTGTGATCAATTCACGTGATTTCCACAGTAAACGAGAGAGAGCCGTTCATAGGGAGTGTCTTGTCATACCTGCGGGCTGATTATTGAAACTGATAGACAAAGCTACCTGGGTGAATTCAAATAAGGGTCAAATTCCAGGTTCTATTTCCTCCCAAAATTTTTTTGTGAATTTTTGGGCAAACCAAACTTTATTTTGACTATCATTAGGTGAAGACTTAGGAAATATAGCTCGTCGAGCTTAATAGTTGGGCTTAAACCTGAATTTCCACCGTCAAGTGTATCACTTCCCAAAATTTGCTCTAATTTTGCCTGATTTCCCAAATTTTCGTCCCAGAGGTGACATATGATACTTTTAATTGAAAATTGAACACAATTGTCATAAAAGCACCATCGAGCACTAAATTAAAGCATAATTGAAAACATGTAACCCTTTCATATCTTGCAGAACCAAAAAAATTGAGGAAAAATCATCCGTCATGAAAGATATCTGGAGCTTATTCTGCTTCTCTTTTAGACAGTTCCGTCTGTTATCAAAATGCGCACTGTTTTCCTTTAACACGAGAAGAAGCTTTTATTTCTTGGAATATTGCAATACAAAATGGATCAAAAACATCGAATTTTAAAACTTCGAGTGGGCGTGTACCCGCTGAAGTGGAGATAAAGCCAGGAAAAGTTTGAGGACTAACACCGGTCAACTTTTTTCTTTTTTTTTTTTGATTTTCCGAAGATTTGCCAATGGTTTTGGAGTAGATTTTTGGCGCTGATTCTGAAGAACACCTCCATTTAACTGTATCAGTGCGATTTATCCTGGGAAAGTTCGGAATTTTTCCGGAGAAATCGGAATTTTCCTTAAAAATCTAGCTTTTCCAGTAGAGTCAATNTCAAAGTTCTCCTAAATTTTTATTTCAGTCCAAATAAAGTGGGAAATAGCATGTAATAGTCAACAATAGTGTGGAAAATGAGAAAAAAATTTGATTTGCCCATGTTTCTCAGATTATGACGATTAAAACAGCTCGGGACACCAGATTAGACGCTTATTTGAACTCACCCACCTATAGGCAAAGAAGACACAGGGAGTATAGAGCGATCCTATTGGGTGAAATGGGTGACTCCTATCGACTAAGGGAGAAAATGATGGACTAACAGTAGGGTCTCTAGTGGGTTTCCATTAAGTCTGTTTACCTCCCTCCTTTGTCCATCGCAACCACCCACTTCCACCGATAGGATCGGATCCCTCCATATCCTTTTTGTCCTATTTATCGAAAACCTTGTCTATCAATTTCAATAATCAGCCCCCTGTGCTGCTTATTAATTGGCTCATCAGTTTTAGACTTTTCATGACCATTCATCTACGATGTGAGTACGAAGGAAAATTAATCATGATCACATGAAAAATTGTCTTCGTCGTTAAAGAGCACAGCAAAATTCGAATCCATAATAAAATGACATTTTAGTTATTATTATATTTTCCCTTGTGAGAATACTTTTTAATCCAAGAAGAACACGGTGTGCCTATCCAGTAAACAAATGTCTTTGGATAACATGTTTACTCTTCAGATTATTTTGGGCGTGAATACTTATATTCTTTTACATTTTTCACTTGCGTACTGTTCTGTATGAATTTTTGACTGAAAGTATCCGAAAATATACTGAGAAAAGGAAATAAGTCGCGTTTTCCTGGACAAATTTAGACCCAAGGATTCCTTTCATCATACAACGGCTCTAGACAGTTTCGATACGGCCTATCTATATTCATTTAAATGGACCAATCATTTTAATGGACCCTAGCAAGCAATGGACTAGACTTTCTGACTAGGCAAACGGGAAAAGGATCATTCTTGGCTTAAGTTTCTATTAGATTTTGTTCAGAAATTATTTCAAAAATTTGGAAATCATAAAATCCATGAAAGACTGAAATTCGTCGGCCAATCAGAGAAAGATACTTTCTCGTTGTGTAGTACGTTGTGTAGTAAAATGTTTGAGATACAATACCTAGTTTCTTTACGTAGGCACTCTGTTTTTTGGGTACTACAACTAACGACGACTCCCATGCATTTCTGGTGAGACGAGAAAAGCGAAAGCGCCTTCAATTTTGAACATGCAGCACGCGCATCCGTGGAACACGAATAATTGCGCATCAAGGCGCTACAACCATTTTATATTCCGTGTTGTACTCGTAAGCCGAGATTACATTCTAAAATTAAAATACTTAAGAGCCAGAAATTATAATACGAGAAAAACAAGGAAAAACGTTTTAATCGATCCGTTCTAGATTTCAGAGCTTTAAAATATTAAAACGATGAATTGATTAATAACATTATTAAATGATCTTCGATTTAAAGCGGGTCCATTTCTACATTTTCTATTATTTTTTTCTCATTTTTTCATTTCTGACACTCAAGTCTTTTTAAGAATGACCGATTCAATTATTGGCCTTTGTTACTGTGGCCTCGTGTCGCAACCTGGTCTCTACTCTCCTTACGCCTATAAGTACTCTATCTGAAGGCTATAACTAACGGTAACTCCTAAGCATTTCTGAAGAGATGAGGAAAGCGAAAGCGCCTTCAGTTTTGGACCTGCAACACGCACATCCGTGGAACACGAATAGTTGCATCAAGGCGCTACGATCAACTCGTCTAGTCTCGGTCAAGCGGGAGTGCCTCCAATTTTTGAGCACATATGCAACACGCACATCCAAGATATTGAAAATATACGTAAGATTTAAAAAAAAAAAAAAAAAAAAAAAAAAAAAAAAAAAAAAAAAATAAACTCGTGAATTTGTATAAAAACTGTTGAGGATTATAAACAAAGCAAGTTGTAAAATTTATTTAAATAACATGTAGATTATTTTGATGCTTTTCAGTTTCGTTCTAAATCTCGTAAGTAATTCGTCAAGAGTCAGTCAGTCGATTAACGTATGGATTGCATTTAAAATTTGACCGCGTTAAGGAGAAAAGAACCTACCCGCATCAGCTAGGTACTGCTGGGTTTAATTGAGTAATTTATTTTTTTACAAGAAAACGTTTGTGCCGATTTTTTGGATATGTCCAGGAATTTGCTTGGCACTACGCAAAAAATTCACTGAAATTAGCACAGAGATCCGTACGGACATTTTCATGTAAAAAATTAAATTGCGCGATTAAAGGACAAATTCACCGCTGACCGAAGATAACACTAAGAGAATTTATGAATTTTTTGCTTAAATTTTCCACTATGTTTAGAAAAAAAGAGACGTAAAATGCTGATACGCTAAACATTCCATATACGAGACTCTAAATTTTCAAAAAATTTAGGAAGTCCTTCTCGTTTAACCTTGAGGTATCCAGAGATTCCCCCTCCTCTTCCTTCATACGCCGCCTGTATCAATCTTGCATCAATTCAAATATGTTATGAATCCGACTGGCTACACTGCAAAATGCGTTCTCCAGTTGAGATTTACAAGTTGTTTCCCGATATTTCTGCGTCTACATATTATTTTCTTCCTTTCAAACCATGCCGCCTCGCCAACGAGTTGCTAGGGGCAACGTCAACAACCCACCAGTCCGTTAAAGTGTATCGGTTGCGAGAGATTTCAGAAAGAAAAATCTTGAAATTATGGTAAGAAACTCTATTTGCTCAACGTTTCAATTTTATACTCATAAATACTGATGGAAAAATTACGAAACCACATACCTCGGTCTGCGATTGTAGATTTCTGGTCACATTTTGCCTACTTTTATGAAGAATAACTAGTTTTTATTTTAGAAACAATGTATGGGCCATTCCTTTCCCTATTCAGATAGGATGCTTTAATGAATGAAATTGTAGTTTCTTGTTGCAAATGCAGTCCAATTGCAAAATTTTAAATTAATTTTCTTTGCATTTAAAGGATGCTCTCTGAAAATTTCTGATAGGGAAGCATAATAATTCTCTCTTGAAAACAAGGAGCAGAGATGGACATTTTGTATAGGAACAATCACGATACACCTACGTATTTTTGTGGTTCCACCGCTGAAACAAGTTATTGGCGTTCACAACCCGAATACGATTCTCAATTTCGTTATTATCAAAAGTCATACGCGCAAACGAGACAGCTCCTAAATGGCACAGTTCGCAATTACGTGGTGAAATTGTTACTACTGCATCGAAGTGTTGTGCATGTTGCCTATCTACTAATCGAAGGGGCACTTTTTATTGGCGTCAGTTGCAATAAAATTAGAGTAAGATGAATATTTTCAATTTGTTGCAAATCGCCTATCTTTCTAGCGCATAGAACTCGCCGTGTTGTTTTTTATTTTATACTGACCAAATGATGCAAAATTATTGCAATAAATCGCAATTTTACTCCAATAATTTCATTGCACTGTGCTACTTGGATCGAGAGACGGACCTCTTATCCCTCCATCTCGGAAAATCATGATACATAGAAGGTATGTAACTTCCTAAAATGTAGCTGCTCTCACACCTCCCCCTCCCCGCAGTGAAATTCTTTAGCCACGCCTGTGCAAAATGCGACAGCATTTATTTTTTTCCAAGGTTAAATTTCAGAAAAAATCAATGAAATTGCTGAGAAACCGAGTTTTTTAAACCTCCAAGTCAAAGTTACATAACCCCTATTCCCCCTTCCCCCCCCCCCAAAAAAAAAAAAAAAATTCTACTTCATATTTCGATATTTTTGGGGCTATGAATACAGTTAGCAACTAAGATCAAGGTGATAGCCATTTTTCAAGATTTTTGGTCCACAGCTATATCGCTAAAATTTAGGAAAAACGATGATTTTCCGAAAGTAGGAGGAGGCAAATGGCGCGGCAGGGGCCGTAGTTCCAGTTTAGAATTTATTTAAGCATGTTTACCCCCCCCCCCCAATGGTAATGGTTTTCTTTCTTTCTTTTTTTCTATTTATTATTCACAGCAAGCAAAACCAACGACAATTAAAGAGGCTCTTAAAAAATGGGAGGAAAAAACTGGACAAGATTCGACCCAAGCGACGGATATAGGAATGCAATTTCAGTGGCTACCAATCGAAAAAATGGACAACACGCTGGGTACTTTGGTTAAGTGCGAGTAAGTAAGTGGAATAAGTGATCCTTGGGGTCTTATTAAAAAAAAAAAAAAAAAAAAAAATCCATCATTTTCATACTCAGAGACCATTTGAGAGGGAATATTTGAGTGAAATTAAAAATGAAATAACTAACTACTTACCTGCTCAGTAAACTTTCCATATTCCTCGAGTTATTTAGAGATAGAAAAAACATACCTAACGACACCAAATTGGACGTCTATAAGCAGAACGGATCTCTAGCAGCACCTATGTCCTGTGATGCTCTTCTTATAGACGTTCCCTTCATGTATAGACAGTCTTACTTAATCTTACGTAGAATCTCTGCTTTTTATTTTTGCTTAGTTAAAAATTACAAAACTTACAGGATTTCAATTATTTAAATTCCTACCCTATGACCCTAGAGCCTAATAGGTTTTGAATGAATGGCGGCACTATTGGAATGTTGGACACATTTTTTGCGAAAGCCCTGTCAACACTACTACCAAAAGTTCACGGAACTTTGGGCGAAAGTAAGTTCCGTAAACCTATCTCTGTGTGGACAAGGCCTTCCATTTTTAAGAAATAAACGCAAAAATTATGAAAAAACAAACATTAATGTGGTTTAATAATCTCGACTTCCAACGCCGTCGCGTCGCGCCGTGTCGCGCTGTGTTTGGCGCGATGCGTGAAGTATTCATGCAGTCTCGTAGGCGCTATGCGTTTCACACCGACCGCTGCTGACTGCACTGTGTTTGATGCAATGCGTGAAGTATTCATGCAGTTATGTAGGCGCTAATATGTGTTACATGCCGACCGCCGCGCCGAGGGCTTCTCCTTTTCATCTCAAGTCCTTTGTCATCATTGCTCTCTGCGCCGCGCCGTTCCAGGCCGCATTCCGTGTTTGATTTCTCTCTTTAACTCGAAAAATTAAAGGTGCTGAATCTTGTATCACCAAAAAACGACAAAATTAGAAATTACTATACTATCAGGAAATGATAGATTTTTCCGCCTTTTCTCGTTTGTATTTTTTTTTTTTTTCTGAACGCGATTTTTTTTTTTATACCTACATTTAAAAAAAATTGTAAAATTTGCCACCCCCTAAATCCGGCCCTGTTGTCGTAATATGGTAATAAAAAGCTGTAATATCATATCTAACCTAAATTGGCAATATCGCCGCGATTGCCGCATAGACCTTTTTATGGATTTATTTTCTCAATATTAAATGCCTCCTAATCCTTACTTTTTGTTTCTTGGTTAGAAAACTGTCGCTGTCCACAAATATGATAGAAAAAATCTCTGGTTTAAGTGGTATGAAAAATCTTAAAATTTTATCGCTTGGACGAAACTACATTAAAGCATTCACAGGACTGGTAAGAATACAAGAATGCACACATCTTTAGATATGAAAGAAAGTAAGTAAAGCATGCTGCATCACAGTTATAAAAAAAAACAATGCTTGAAAATGAGACTGATTTAAAAGTAAAAATGTCTATGGGATCACCGAACTTCTGGCATTAAAAATGTATAGGTAACTTCAAAAAAGGACAAAAAAAAAGAGAAGAGCCATAGGTTCCTAAAACATTGAACCACAAAAAAGTTTGTAATCAGATGAGGCTAGAAACATCGATATAGCAGGTATGTAATAGGGGGATACCTAGGACCCAAACAACACTAATCAGAGACCCAGATTATTCATGATTTAGTATCCGTGGCTAGTTAAATTGATACAAGTAAGAGACTGTAGGCGTAGAATATCAGTAGGTCTCCTGTCGCATGCTACGTCTGATCACTAATATAGGTTTTACTCTTAACTTTGTACACAGGAACCAGTAGGAGACACACTGGAAGAACTATGGATATCATACAATTTGATCGACAAAGTGAAAGGTGTCGCTGCTTTGCGGAAATTAAAAGTTCTGCACATGTCAAACAACTTGGTCAAAGATTGGGGAGAGGTTGCTAAGCTACAGGAATGTCCATCCTTGATAGACTTGTTATTTGTTGGTAAAGGCAGCAGGCAAATTCACTCTTGCGTACCCTAAGTTTCACGCCCTTTTTTTTAAGAATTAGGAAATGAGCCCTGATGAAAAAATTATTGAGTCTACTTTCCTGACAGCTGAATTAGAGCAAGAAGCCCTTTCGCCCTTGATGAATGACTAGGCGATGCACTAAAAACAGCGCCTTGATGCAGCTATTTCTTCTGTTAATAAGATTGGTTTACATTTTGTGGGAAGGAACTATGATTTTTGGCTCATTTTAAAAACAGCATAAGTGCAATAAGCATAAGCATAGTCATACCAGATTATTCAGTAGGTACTTCCAAATGTAATAATTTGAGTAAATCAATAATATTAGGATACTTTTTTGGAGGGGCCGAAAAAATTATTAAAATTAATGTTAAAGAGTATGCTAAATTCAGCAATAAGTATAATTTTTTCCCCTGGCATTACCATTTTGCGATGAAAACGAGAGAGGACTTTAATCTCTGGATGACTTTTGAAAAATACCTACAGTTTTCCTTGATATTAGATAGGTATTGATTTAAAAAACTTTTAATTTTTTTCAGGAAACCCGATATGTGAAAATTTGGATGAAGGTGTGTGGAGGACAGAGTGTACCAAACGTCTGCCTAATTTAAAAAAACTGGACGGGGAAACTGTATTAACTGATTATTACATCTGAATAATTTTCCAAATTGATTAATTTATTCCTGCTAAGGAAAAACATGATTTTTGAATTTTATATGCTCAAGGGGTTAAAAATGAACAATCAAGGATGTAGACACACAGATGGTTCTTTCTTTTATTTGCATATTTTTAAAAATAAAAGTAGACAGTTGTACTGAGCCATTGTGCACAAGAACACTTTATAAGTGTCAACAATGAAGACATAAATAAAATAGATATAAACCTTAAACTGATTAAATCAATAAACTTACAAACCTAAGTATTAAAGACGCAAAAGGCCCCTTGGAACAATACATTTATCGCAACACAGGGATTCCCCTCACTAGTGGGATGACTATTCATGTTATTATCAGTTGCCCGGTTATGTATTTACATGTTCCTATAAAGGTCAAAGTGGAGCCTCCGGGAAGCCCACCATCAGTATAAAGATTTCACATACTTAATTAGCCTCACTTAAGTTGAGGTTCTCAGAAATACATTCAAAGCGCTACATCTGATAGAAATTTACTTTTAAGAGGATCTGGACAAAATATTACGAGTATCTAAAAATATAGAGAAAACATAAAATGCAATGTAAATGCAATAAATCCATTTTTATGCCATTTGAACTGTCAGATTTATACACAGGTTTTTGTCATTTTCAGGTTATTTGTTAAAAAATCTGCTAAAAAATGTATGTTTAGGTTTAATATAAACTGAAAAACATTCAGAAGTAGCTCACTTTTGGAGAGACAAATGTTTAACTGTCAACGAGGCTCTTCCTACCAACCATGTGTACTGCACATGATAGAAATTTGGACAAACTACAGTGTTTGGCTAAAAGGAAATTCATTAGGATTTATTTAATCACATATACCTATATAGGTACCTAGATTCTACTGATGTTAAGAGGTAGGTAACTGAATTACTAGACTCCACTGGTTTTTGATTGGAAAGAAAATATTTGGGTGAACATTTAAAGACAAGTGATGAAAATTGTTCCCAAAGGTGAAGTTTGAACTGTTAACAATAAATAAGGTATGTACCAAAATCCATGATTATTACTCCATTGCATTACATTAATCAACAGGTGGTTTCGAATCTAATAAACTGCTGGCAAAGACATTAAAATAGTTGTCATTAAAAAAATATGCTTCTTCAGCAAGCATTTTTGAGTGTACACGTTTTCAGAATTTGATAAGAGAATTGATGCCTCATTATTCTTATGAGTCAATGATACACTACCTCTTATCGCATTTCTTATTAAATTTATTGGAGGTCTTTAGCAATGATTCAAGAAATTTTGTTGACTTTGTCCAGCAAAATTGTAGAGGTAAGTGGTGATGGCCACTGCAATTAATAGATGAAGTTTTGTTCTTGGATTGACATGAAAGCCTTCCGAATGCAGACTATTTAGTGTGTCTATTGGTATCTTATCATTCAGATTCCTTGCTAATTCATTACCTTTCCTTAACTTTTTCCTTGCCATTTACTGTTTAAATTGTGAAGGACACACATTTCTTAAGTCACATATGAATAGACAATTTTGTTCAAAATTTAGCACGAATAATTTCCTTAGTGCTCCTGATGATCTTCAATATTCAGCAAAGAAAACATAGTAAGAGCGATAGTATTCATTCAAAAAAGACGAGGTTTGCTTCAATTTTCATCAGCAAGAACAAAATTCTGAGAAATTTGGATCCGAGAAAGGAAAGTGGGTACATTTTAAGTGGACTAGAATGAACCAACACACAAAGAATCCAACTACTAGAAAAAGTAAAGAGGACTACATTGAGAAATTGCATATCCCTGAGGCTATTTTTTGAAGTTCATCACAAAAAGCCGATAAAACCGTACCTTTACATGGAAAATTTTCTACGCCTTTACACTGAACTTTAAAAATCCATGCTTATCAGAGTAATCATGCTCTCTTTCTGCACGGTAGACACCCTGTCATTACAGTTTGGTTAAAATTAACATTATACAATAAAAAATAAATTACACATACTCTACTTACAGAAACATTGCTCCCTGATATTAAGTTTGTAAAATATGACCTAAAACTATTAATACTTTTATTCATGCACAGCCATCAACGAACTTTCATCGTCCTTAATTTTCTCATTTTTCCTAACATTAATTACGCCGCTTGTACTCAACTGCAGCACATCCACTAAAAAATGTACTAGTTTTGGTTGAAAAACAGCAGATCCAAGTTGCACACTCAAAACAACAACTTCAAAACTGCACCAGAATCTTACAGCTTTGATGCTGAAAGGTGAAATTGTTGACCTGTCCTTGTTCTCAAGAAATTACCATACTAATTGGACTAATTAGACACCTCATCCGGGTAGGAAACGAAAAAAAAACAGGCATACAGTAGGGCTGTGCGAGCCTGAAAGTTTGGGTTCGAGCTGAGTTCGAGTATTTTTTCACTGTTTAGAGCCGAGTTCAAGCTTTTTCGAGATTTGAAAAAGACCCTCGAGCCGAGTCGAGCTCAAGTCGAGTCAATTTCAAGTAATTTTGAGTTTTAACACGTGATTTTACAATAAAAAATAATGGCGACTCTAAAAATAATAGAATGATTAAAATATTTAGTAGTTTGACTGTTTTAACGTTTCCAGCTCAAAAAAGCTCAAAATATTTGAAAAAACTTGTGTTATCAGCACTTGAGCCAAATTTGTGTACTTGCTCGAACCTTACCTGACTACAAAAAATAGAAATTTGAGTACTCGCACAGCCCTAGCATAAAGCCCCAAGATCAAATTGAAATAAGAAACCAGAAACACACCGGAGGTAGCTCTGAAATAATTTTACAAGCGTCATTCCCCACGCAAGTTTCCAATCATCCCTGAGAGCACCATATGAGGAGGATCACTTGCATTCAAATTGCTTTGTAGGATAAGATTATGGAAACTTGCTGGAGACGAGCTTTCAAATCAATGAGTTTTTCTGGCTAACTCATAGGGAATACTTCATCACTTTTGATGACTGCTTAAATCCATCAACATGAACTGAGATACATTTATGAAAAGAGATACTGATAAAAATTTGCCACAGAAGCTTGATCACCTGAATATTACTTGGTCACTTCCGGTGGGCAGTCTGGTTGGTTAGACGGATGTGCTGCGCAAAATGCAGGATGGTTTTCTAGTTCTCGATCAATCCTCAGAACGATAGGGAATGGACGTAAATCAACGTGGAATCTATAAAAAATTATGAAAAAAAATAAATAAATAAGTAAATGAACAAAAAATAAAAACTGTGGGTGGGTGGGTTCAATGGACATTTAAACGATTGTCTTGATGTATGGATAGGATATTGGAAAACATCGTAGCCTACCCTTATTTGTCATCATTTCGGGCAAGCGCGACTGTCAGCATCACTTTGGAAAGGGAGATTGAAAAAACAGTCAGGGTTTCCATACTGCCATACTAAGATAAACAACGATGAGTCTCCAAGCAAACGTTGCGAAATTTTCTTGAATAAAATACGAATTTTCAGAGAAACCTGTTCATAATTTTCCTCAAATTTTTCAGAGAATATTGTTCGCGATCAAATCTAAACCATCTGGTCCCAAGAAAAAATACTCATAATTCTTCTAAAAAATTAACTTTTAATCGTAAGAAATTTGGCAACTCTTGATTGTTTATAGGGCGTTTATCCTCAACACAGCAGCTCACTTCCCTTAGTTTTTTGCTGTTTTTAGAGACAGTACACTAGCACAGCTGTGCTGAATAAATTTATTTAGGAAAGCAAAGATTCTCTGTAAAACGTGAATCCTGGTAGAAAAATTTTAACAACTCCTCAGAGTTGACTGAATTCCCTTTGACTTATTCCAATAAATCTCAAAAGCATCAGAAGCTTGAAATGAAGAAAGTAAAAATTTGATGCTGATAAAATTGAAAAGTATACCGTTATATCAATCAATTTGATTTATTAAGAAAGAGCAATTGAAAATAGTTATCAAAAAATCCGTGAAACTCAGTAGTCCACTCATTTTTGAATAAGCAAAGCAAGGAGTCATGGATAATGAGGCCGTTCCACTAAAAGTCAATCATGGTTAAGCGAATCTGCGGAACGTGAATCCCTGGACAACGGTGATCCACTGCAGAGATGTAATTAAATATAACAACAGAAAAGGGTAAAGTAATGTGGTGAGTCTTTTACCAATATGTAAAAAATAAATATTATATGGTTTTACCTGCGAGCACTGAAGACTTGTGGAATCAAACAACAATCAGCTAAAGAAATTTCATCACCAACGCAGTATTTTCCTGCTGATGCAGTTAGCAATTTTTCTACGGCTGAAACAGTGATGAAGTGACAGTAAAAATATATTTTTAAGGCGATAAGGAAAACACAATGAAATAGCCCAATTCAACAATATAAAACAAAAAAATTGCACAAGACAAATGGATGTAACAATTATAATAGGGCTAAAAAAAACAGCCAGAACATTTGTAAAATATAACAGTTGTTGTAGATTCATTTGGAATACGTAACATTCTTGAGCTTGAAGATAACCCTTACAGAAGCACTTAACATCAATTTTATCAATTTTAACGAAGATCTTTTAATAAATCTTAATAGATACAGCAGGACAAAGTAGAGAGCATAATGAAAAATCACCCCCTCAACACTTTTCATGATATTGGTTCAGGTATATTAGCAGAGCTCATTGCATAAAATAGGCTGAACTCAAGAGGCAAAGTTCAAATTGAACCGCGTTAGCAGAGAGGTTGCAAGCCACATCAGCTATTGCCAAATTTAGCTGAGCAATTTAATTTTTTACAAGAGGACGTTTGTGCGGATTCCTTTAAAAAATTTAAGGAATTTGCTCTCCTCATTGCTTTTAGATACAAGTGCTCTGTCTATTCATCTTTGATCTGACCCTATTTTAATTTCAAAAATTTGGAACTTCAAGAAAAAATTAAGTGAAATGCCTAGTATTATCCTGCAGAAGTTATTTTTGGTACAAAATATTACTCAAACTATTGAGAATGAGGAGGCAGCTTTACAAATTCCGAACAACGACAGGTTGCTTGAACAGGCCCAAAAATAGTTTTGGTGGAAAGATTCAATATGACCTGAAAGGGGGGAAAAAAAACTAAATATTCAATCTTTCTTAACATTCAGTGATTTAACTTTAAAGTTACCTCTGAGCCCTCTTTGAATCCAGTGCTGAGCCCATTCTTTTTTCTTTTCTTCGCCGACATAAATTAACACAGTTAAGTTTTGTAAAGGCTGAATCCCACTTGCTATTACTTCACATATTTCACGCACCTGAAATTTTCATTACAATCATTACAAGTCAAGAAAGAACTGATTATATGTATAAGGCTCAAGGAAGATTTCCAGAGGTCTCTGAACCAATAATAGGAGTGCAGTGGCAATATTACGTGAGAAGGACAAGAAAATAGTGAGTGATCACTGCCACGTAATTTGCAAAATTTTAATGCTAAATAGTACCTACTTGAAAAAAAAATTTTGAAGTTGAAGCCATAGCCTCATAAAATAGGATCTCCATTTGAAAATCAAAGAAATGTGCTTCCTTCCAACAGAAATGGGTCTGTTGCATACGAGTCATGCAGCCAACCGAGTAAGCTCTTCATCGGTGATTATGAACAAAAATCACATTGAGAAAGCGGGAATTACCTAAAATATACTCCTTTATGTACAATTTGCGCAGTCCCATGGTTGCCATAATTTCTTTGTCTTTAAATTCCCTAAACTCTCCTTGGGAGAGCATTTGATAATTATTTAATGGAATAGGAGAATTACACCTCAAAATATGATATTTCGACTAATATTTTAGAATCATTGAAATTTTAAATGTTTTAACTTCAAATCATTCTACCAGTCCTCCAACAAGAATTGGTAATAGGGTATGATACATTTTTCAAGCATCAGAGTCATTTTTGAACATGAAGCAAACACAATGAACTTAATTACCTTCGCTCTTTTATGGACATCCTGTGGCATGAGAGGCCGTTGAGGTCTTGTTTCTTCTAGATAGTGCATAATATTCAGCTGAAATTCATCAATAGTTTTAAAACAAGGATAAAAAATTAATGCATTGATGTACATGTGCCCACTTACAAACTTAAACCATCTTTTTTTTTCTTTGGCTGAAGAATTTGAGAGGGGCGTTATGTAAGTATACTATACCTCAAAACTGCTAGATAAAATTAAAATCTACCAATAGCATCTAATACTCATAGCTCTCTTACAGGTTAAAGTTTGTTACATAAGCTAAATACAGCGCCAAAAGAGTCTTACCTTCTTAACCCACCTTTGCAATAGCCTCATTCAGCAATTAAGCATTCAGATTTTATGGTGAAACTTTTAAAGGGACATTTTATTCCGATTTCTGTGCTTTCAAACTTGGCATAGGGTATTATACATTTTCAGAGCTTTTTCAAAACTTGCAAAATTTTCGAGGGTAAAAATTCCAGAAATTGCTGGGATTGATCACTACCTACCGATTCAATTAGAGTATGACCATCTATTTGGAGTGCAGGTACATGTTCCATTGGATTGACATCACGAAAAATATTGCTGTGCTGCTCGCCACCACCTTTAATTAAACTTATAGGTTTGATATCATAAGGAATTTCTTTCAAATTCAATGCTAAAAAGAAAAATGAAAAAAGAGTATTAAAGATTGCAAGGCTGAATACTTTCAAGTCCATTGATACAAGTCTCTGGCTAAGAAGTATTAAACCATCATGGTGGTCAAAAAGCTATTATAAAACTACTGTCTAGATTATTTCCAACAGAAAATCAATGAAGACATGACACGCCAGAAAGTGCGCATCCCCTCCTTGACAGATAATGTTTCATCACTAGAGAGCTTATGCACAATTTGACAATTTAAAAAAAAAAAGTGACATTAAATTTAGTTTTGCCCTACTCACCAAGATCATGGAGCTCCTGTGCTCTTTGAATGGGGATACTGCATATCGACGGTGAAAGTCGGCAATCACATAACTCGTTTGCGGTGTCTGAAAATCTCCGCCTCTACTTCATTTTTTTAAAGGAGAACAAATTGATATTATTTCTTGAAGTTTTTGCAGAATTTTCTTCGCATTGAGAAGAAAAATCATGACAGTTTTAAAGAATTGCCGTTGAGTAGTTTTCCATTTAAAAAATAAAGTATGACAGGAGGTCTGCGACGTCGCAAACCGAGTTATGTGATTGCCAACTTTCACCGTCGATATGTAGATAAAAATGAGAAAACCTCAAGAGCTTGGCAAAAGGGTTAGAGGTGTCGTCAGTAAGTTGGCATTTGTTTACTTTTGGTTTGCTGGCGCAGACAATGAATTTAGGCCTCTGCACAGACCATCGTTCACTGGTATCCACATTAAAAACCTCCATCTTATGATCGCATCCCAAAATAGCTACTCGTCAGTTATGATCAACGACTTTAAGTAATGTGGTTGTGATTTCTGTGTGGCTAAAAATTGAAGTGTTACAAGGTTTGAAAGTATTAAAAAACCTATCCAAGCTTGTGTTTGTGTTATGCAAGATTTGGATGTTTTCATGCAGATAGTAGTGATGCAAAAACGCTCGCAAACCGAAAGTAAACAAATGCCAACTTATATGATGATACCTCTAAGGAAATTTCCAAGTTATGGAACATACCTAGTGCCACCTGCACCGCTTTAGGATGCTGGATACTTTCAAGTCCTACTGTCAATTACATTTGAATTTACCTTCTTTAAAAACATTCTAGGGTCTAAGAACATCTTTGTTTTTTTTTTTTTTTTTTTTTTTTTTTTTTTTTTTTTTTTTTTTTTTTTTAACTAGCCCTCAAGGGCTAATCCCATCTGCTCATGAACCAGTTTGAGCCAATCCCTAACCTATTTTTATATTTAAGTCCAAAAAAACCACACAATTTTTGATCCAGAAATTTCGAAATTTCGTTCTCAATTACGCGAGTCACAAATCAAGCCAAGATGGCGGCGCATTCCCTAACCTCAACCTCACTCCACCGGTGCATGACGCAGACTGACTTGTACAAATTCTTTCAGAACAAATAGGTAAGAAAAAAAATTCCAAAATGTGCTGAAATTTGTGTAGTTTTCAATTCAATTTGCATAGACTGTGGACTTGGTCTCAGCAAGAAATTACAATTGACGGACAAAAATACTACTATTTACCTCCTTTGGAATTAAATTTGAACATTTTCTACATACCCACTGTGTTTTACGTAGAATTGTTAGGAGGAAATGCGTTTGTGGTGCTTCTGACCTTATTTAAAGACTTGTTGAATGAAAAATGTTTAGTGAGGATTATTTTGCATAACTATGTAAAATGATGCCAAATGCAATACTAAGCTTTTAAGAGATGTAAAAGCCATGAAAAAGGGAAAAATTATCAGAAATTCAACATACCAATCCGCACCCTCCATGAGCATGAACTTCGCCAGTAGGAATATAGAATTGGCTGGGAACAAACAAATTGTATGAATAAACAGAAAATTCACGTTGCAGCCAAATTCAAATATAATTCAATAAAACTACATGACTTCAATCGATAAATTGGTAGATCAGGATGAAAAGATTCAAAAACTAATTTGATTACTCACCTTCCCCATAAGAGACATGCTGAGAGAAGTTGATATCCCCAATTGCTTAGTGGAAACAAAAGGGAGAATATTGATATTGTAAAAAGATATTGAAAGATATTGTATTCCTGGAAATTTTATTGATATTAGGCACTTTGACAAAACTTGGAAACTTGGATAATACTTCAAACAAATGCAGCTAAGAACCGAGCAAGCCGAGCTCACTTATCAGAAGATGATGATTGATAACATAACCAAACAAACAAAACACAAACTCGTCAACAAACACCAAAACTAAACGGTGTTTGGTGAGAGCCAGAAAACATTATTGACGA